CTTCTTGATGGTGATTAGTGGCTGCTGGCGACAAGGGAGGAGCTGAACGTTGATTGGTCATTTCATAATGGCTTGGTGGTTATTTGGAATTGTGGCGTTTTTTGACAAAGAAAGCTTCCTTGGCGAGGCGAGTTCCATTTTTGAGATGTTTAAATCGTTGGAGAGGAACTATCATGAGACGAGTTAAGGAGTGTTGATATCGAGGATCTTGACACCAAAGTTCAAGATTCGCTAAAACGGTTGAAAATTTTATAGGATAAGCTTCTTTGGAATCTTCAACGACATACTTGACTGTCTTGTTGATGAGCAGCATAGGGTCAGAGAGGTGGCTTATATACTGCAGTCAGATGAGTTGAAGCAGGAGGAGGCTGGATCACAGTGGGACCTGCCACTAGTGTAAGTAGGTCGTCGTCCAAAGGTTGGGCAAGCGTTGAAGTTTTTGTATCAAGATCCCATGATGAAGCCACTGTGTGGCGAAACGTTTCTTCAATAAAAAATCCCATGTGTTGCATAAGTGTCTCAATTCTTCAACTTGTCGGCTTTCAAAACCATTCATCACACACTCACTCTAGTAATAAATGAGTTGAGGGAAGGAAAAAGACCAGGGATAATAATGGATGAAAGACAGGGTTTCAGGATTTGTTTGGCATAATAAATTGTTGTCAGGATTACATTAAGGTAAGGAGGTGCTTTTTAACACTAGTTTTGAAGTAGTTGGCAGAAAGAGACTTGGAACCTTCAGGCAAAAAAAAAGTTCCATATTTTAGGTCCCTCTATGGGCATGCCCCTCAGGGAAGGTTCCTTGATGTTGGTGAGGGGCTCTTGATTTAGGGAATTGGATCTGTGCTCCAGTTCCCCGAATTAAGCCTGACTACCTTCCACATCATCCCCCCCAGGCGCTGTATAATCCTATGGGTTTAGCGCTTCCCCCTTGATTATAATAATAATTTATGGACATTGAATTTTTACACAGGTCTAGTTGTCTAGTATATTGGCTATGAGTTTTGTTCCCCTCAAGGAAGGTTCCTTGATGTTGGTGAGGGGCTCTTGATTTAGGGAATTGGATCTGTGCTCCAGTTCCCCAAATTAAGCCTGAATGCCTTCCACATCCCCCCCCCAGGCGCTGTATAATCCTCCGGGTTTAGCGCTTCCCCCTTGATTGTAATAATAATAATAATATGAGTTTTGTTGCTTATATCAAGAGTTTCAGGGCAGGATTAATATTAGAACCGATTGTCCTGTATATGTAATATGCACAGTAAGTAAGTAAGTTTATTCAGGTATACACAAATACAGTTACATAGAATTATCATACATAGCTGCATATGTGTAGAGAACCTAGGATAACCCAAAAAAGCCAGAGTTAATTTTGGGTTTTAGGTTATCCTGGTGGGTAAGCTACACTATTTAGTAATTTAGTAATTTAAGCATACATACAGAGGTACAAAAAATACAGGTAAGAGCAGCATGCCAAAGCCACTTATATGCATAGCATTACGGGCTGGCTTAAAATTAACTTAAGATTAACTAAGCAATGATGAAATCAGTGATAAAACATTGTAAACAGATAACTATAAAGCACAAATAAGTATTACAAAGACAGGTCATATGGTTGCATGCATTGCTGTACATTCAGTCGAATGGAGTATTCTGTTAGGTAGTGTATTTAAAAAAATAACAAAGTTAGATTTAGTCTGGGGTTTAACATTATGTGATATAATTTGTGATTTAACCCATATAGGATTCAATTTATAGGTTCAGTTATTCAGTATTTATTTGGTTTTGAGCGAGTAAGTGACTTTGAGAAGACTTGAATTTTTTAAAACAGGTAGTGTTTCTTTTATATTTACGGGTTAATGAATTCCAGATTTTAGGGCCTTTTATGTGCATTGGAGTTTTTCCCATAGCGTGAGAGGGAAACCCCGAGGAACATCAAAGAGTGATCTGTGCCTTGTTTATGGTCATGTGTTCTTTTGAAAGGGTTTGGGAAGGAGATGTTTGAGGGGAGGGTTATATCAGAGTTAAGTGTTCTATGTATGTAATAGGTGCAGTAATAAGTATGGATGTTTTGTATGGTGAGTAGGTTGAGTGTTTTGAATATTGGTGGAGTGTGCTGCCTGTAGTGAGATTTTTTTATCATTCTAACTGCAGGCCTTTTGTTGGGTAATTAGTGGTCTGAGATGGTTAATTGTTGTTGAGCCCCATGCACAAATTCCATAGGTGAGATAGGGGTAAATAAGAGAGTGATAAAGGGCCAGGAGGCTGACTGTGGAACATAGTACCGTAACTCGATAGGGATGCCTAGTCTTGGAAAATTTTTTTAGAAATTTATAATAATAATAATAATAATAATAATAATATCTTTATTTACTACAAGTACATGTACAAGGTATACAGTCCTAGCTGACAACAATGACATACTACTATATAGAAACTCCCTTGTTATGCTCTGCATTTCGGGCAAATTAGGTCAGTGTCCCGGGATGCGACCCACACCAGTCGACTAACACCCAGGTACCCATTTTACTGATGGGGAACATAGACAACAGGTGGAAAGAAACACGTCCAATGTTTCTACTCTGGCTGGGAGTCGAACCCAGTCCCTCGCCGTGTGAAGCGAGATTCCTAAGAATTTTCCCTCTGTTAGCTTTGTGATAGGTGATCTGTTTATCGTTATGTTAAGAGGTACATCTGTAGCTCTGTTACCAAACTGAATGAAGCAGGTTTTGTCAATGTTTAGTGTAAGTTTGTTAGTCCTCATCCAGGTAGATATTTTCTGTAATTCGGTGTTTACAGTATTGGCTAGCGTGACTGGGCTCGGGTGAGAGAAGACGTATGTAGTGTCATCTGCAAATAGTGTGGGTTTGAGTAATTGCGAAGCATTTGGTAGGTCATTTATGTATAGGAGAAAGAGAAGAGGGCCAAGGACACTTCCCATGGGACACCAACTGTAAATTGGTTGAGTGGAAAGAGCTTTCCCCATTTGCATACACATATTGGGTTCTGTTGCTGAGGTAAGACTTGAGGGAGTGCCCTCAAAAACCATAGTGTGACAATTTTACGTGGAGCAAGTCATGGTCAACTGTATCAAAAGCTTTACGTAAGTCAATGAGATCCCAGTGGGACTCTTTTTTCTCTATTGCAGTGTATATATGTTCTAGCATGTGGGAAATTTGCATCATTAGTATTTTTTATTAGGCCTGAATCCAAATTGGCAGGGGTTGAGAATTTTTTTGGGAGATGAGGTAGGAGTAGATTCGTTTATGAATTAATTTTTCGGGAAAATTTTTTAGAGAGGGTGTAAATTGGATATTTACCTATAGTTATTCAAAATCTGTTTGGTCTCCTTTATGGATCGGGGTGACCCTTGCTATTTTGAGAACGTAGGGAAGGTGGAGGATTCAAAAGGATTTGTTAAAGAGTGTTGCAATGATTGGTGATAGTACTTGTGACACTTTTTTGTATATAAAGGGTGGTAAAGGGTTTTTAATCTCCTGCCTTGTTTTTTAGTGTGTTGATAATAAGGGAGACTTCGTATGGGTTAGTCGGAGCTAGGAACAGTGTGTTCGGGTAGTTGCCGTGAGGTAGTAAAGGTGGGGTATCTGAGCTTGGGATTTTATTGGCAAGGTTTTGTCCTATAGTGGAGAAGAAATCATTGAGGTCTGTTTGCTGTTTCTGTTGGTGTTGGGGTTCATCTGATTTTGTAATTTTTTTTTCGCTATTCCCTGATATCTTTTTGTTCCCAGAATTTCTGATAGGGTCTTCCAGGTCTTTTTATATCACCTCGTAAGTTGGATAATCTGTTCTCATAGTACAGTTTTTTTTTTTTTTTGCCCTTCTTAGGCTGGTTAGGATTGACGAGTAACGTTTTGTTTGGTCTCTGGTTATGTGACCCATTCTGTACTGTTTTCATATCGGTTTTTTGTATTTATGGATTTGAGAATGCTGGGTGTTAGCCAGGGACTGTTCAGTCTCTTTGCTGTCATCTGTTTATTTTTTTAGGGCAGTGCTTGTTATAGAGGTATTGGGTCTTTTTTAGAAAATTATTAAAACATTCGTCAATATCTATAGATTTCTAGCTCAGTGTGCCAGTCAATGTTTGTTACTGCTGTTGTGAAAATTATTAATGGCTGCCCCATTGTGGGAAATCTGAAGGTGACTTTAGTAGTCTTGGGGTATTTTACCAAGAGTTGTTATGAGGAAAGTAGGGTAGTGGTCTGTGGTAAATTAAACTGTAATTATGCCTGATTTTTAAAGGGGATATGGTGTTGGTCCAGATGTGGTCAAGTAGGGAAACACTAGTCTCTGTAACTCTTGTAGGTTTTGTTACTGTTGGTAGTAACATACAGTTACTCATTGTGTTTGTGAATTCAGTAACGTGTGGGTCCTGGTCTTGCAGGAGATTTATATTGAAGCCACCTGAGAGTAGTAAGTGATCTTTGTTCATGCGTGCATCAGTTATCATACTTCCTAGGTTTTGACTAAATTGGCTAATGTTTGATTGTCGAACTCTGTAGATGTTTATCACTGTGAGAGGTTTTTGTAGGTATTTGGATTTGAATTTAGCTATTATATATTCCCCATGTATGATAATTATACAGTATGTATTCCATACTGTATTGTGCATATTAAACCCATTGTAATCTCTGTAAACCTAAATTTTTCCACTGTCCCTCACAGGAGGAGCTGCAAGTGTATAATAAACTAGCCAATGGTGAAACTTACTAAAACTTTCAGTTTGTCCTATATACCAATGGGCTTTCTGCATACACACCTAAATGTCACCCAACTCTGTACAAATGTTGTATTGTGCTGAAATAAAGATTATGGCTTCAATGGAAATATGTCACTGACTTTTTTTTAGTTATTTTAGGTAATTTATGTATGATAATTTGTGTGATTGTATTTATGTGTACCTGTACCTAAATAAACTTACTGTCTGGATACGGTGTTTCAAGTACTTGTAGAAATAAAGATTATTATTACTTATATATCTTCATACATAGTGAAGGAGGGTTGGTAATGGTGTAAGTTGTCAGTGACCTTTATAAACCCAACAACACCGGCAACACTACAACTGTAGTCTCCTGCAGGACTATGTAAGTCAGTAATTCAATTCAAGTTTATTCTCTATAATGGTTACAATGTGGGGTTTACAGGTTTTGGGTATTTTGTGGTTTACATGTTATAAAATATTAATTACAGAGGGGGCCACTAGGACACCTTGCATGGCTAGGCATTTCGAGCAGACTTGGATTAATTCATAACATTAAGTAAGTTTATTTATGTATACACAAATACAGTTACATAGATTATCATGCATAACAGCATATGTGTAGACAACCTGGGGTAACAAAAAAGTCAGAGTGACTTATTTCCATTGGGGTCCTTCTGCGCCGCCTTCGTCGAGTATACCTGGAGTTTACCTGGAGAGTTCCGGGGGTCAACGCCCCCGCGGCCCGGTCTGTGACCAGGCCTCCTGGTGGATCATGGCCTGATCAACCAGGCTGTTACTGCTGGATGCACGCAAACCAACGTACGAGCCACAGCCCGGCTGGTCAGGAACCGACTTTAGGTGCTTGTCCAGTGCTAGCTTGAAGATAAGATAAGATAAGATTTCGTTCGGATTTTTAACCCCGGAGGGTTAGCCACCCAGGATAACCCAAGAAAGTCAGTGTGTCATCGAGGACTGTCTAACTTATTTCCATTGGGGTCCTTAATCTTGTCCCCCAGGATGCGACCCACACCAGTCGACTAACACCCGGGTACCTATTTGCTGCTAGGTGAACAGGACAATAGGTGTAAGGAAACGTGTCGAAATTTCCACCCGCCGGGAATCGAACCCTGGCCCTCAGCGTGTGAAGCTAGTGCTAGTGACACCCCTGCTTTTCATTGGGAGGATGTTGCATCGTCTGCCAAGTCTTTTGCTTTCGTAGTGAGTGATTTTCGTGTGCAAGTTCGGTACTAGTCCCTCTAGGATTTTCCAGGTGTATATAATCATGTATCTCTCCCGCCTGCATTCCAGGGAATACAGTTTTAGGAACTTCAAGCGCTCCCAGTAATTGAGGTGTTTTATCTCCATTATGCGCGCCATGAAGGTTCTCTGTACATTTTCTAGGCCAGCAGTTTCACCTGCCTTGAAAGGGCAGCAATATTCCAGCCTAGATAGAACAAGCGACCTGAAGAGTGTCATCATGGGCTTGGCATCCCTAGTTTTGAAGGTTCTCATTATCCATCCTGTCATTTTTCTAGCAGATGCGATTGATACAATGTTATGGTCCTTGAAGGTGAGATCCTCCGACATGATCACTCCCAGGTCTTTGACATTGGTTTTTCGCTCTATTGTGTGACTGGAATTTGTTTTATACTCTGATGAAGTTTTAATTTCCTCATGTTTACTATCGGAGTAATTGAAAATTTCTCATCGTTGAACTTCATATTGTTTCTGCAGCCCACTGGAAGATTTGGTTGATGCCGCCTGGAGGTCTTGCAGTGTCTGCAATGGAAGACATGTCGTGCAGATTCGATGTTCATCTGCAAAGGAGACACGGTGCTGTGGCTGACATCCTTGTCTATGTCAGATACGAGGAGGGAGGAACAAGATGGGAGCGAGATGTTCCTTGTGGAACAGAGCTTTTCACCGTAGCTCCCTAGACTTTACCTCTGTTGATTTACTACTCTTTGTGTTCTTTTGTGAGGAAATTTAAATCCATCTAAAACTGTTAAATGTAGGGTTTAGATTTAAATTATGAAAGAATTAAAAGTAGACGGAGAATAGGATAGCAGAGAACAAGAGCTTTGGGAAAAGTAGGGTGTGTGGACCAGAGTGTTTAAGTGAAAAATATAAGTGAACAGTATTTGAAAAGGGCTAAAGAGGTCTTGTGGATTTATGGATTTGGAAAAGGCCTAGACAGGTGAAAAGGGGCAATGTGGCAGATGTTGCAGGTGTATGGTGTAGGAGGTAGGTTACTGAAAGCAGTGAAGAGTTTTTTGAGGATAGTGAGGCTCAAGTTAGAGTACATAGGAAAGAGGGAAATTATTTCCCAGTAAAAGTGGGGCCTTAGACAAGGTGTGTGTTTGTTACCGTGGTTGTTTAATATATTTATAGATGGGTTGTAAGAGAAGTAAATGCGAGGGCTTGGCAAGGGGGGTTGGAGTTTAAAAGAAAAAGAATCACACATAAAGTGGGAGTTGTCACAGTTGTTTCTTTGCTGATGACACTGTGCTCTTGGAGATTCTGAAGAGAAGTTGCAGAGATTGGTGGATGAATTTGGTAGGGTGTGCAAAAGAAGAAAATTAAAAGTGAATACAGGAAAGAGTAAGGTTAGGGAGGATAACAAAATATTTAGGTGATGAAAGATTGGATATCAGATTGGAGGGAGAGAGTATGGGAGGAGGTGAATGAAATCAGATATTTGGGAGTGGACGTGTCAGCGGATGGGTCTATGAAAGATGAGGTGAATCATAGAATTGATGGGGGGGAAAAGGGTTGAGTGGTGCACTTGGGAGTCTGTGGAGACAAAGAACTTTGTCCTTGGAGGCAAAGAGGGGAAGTATGAGAGTATAGTTTTCCCCAACACTCTTATATGGGTGTGAAGCATGGGTGATGAATGTTGCAGCGAGGAAAAAGGCTGGAGGCAGTGGAGATGTCATGTCTGAGGGCAATGTGTGGTGTGAATATAATGCAGAGAATTCGTAGTTTGGAAGTTAGGAGGAGGTGCGGGATTACCAAAATGTTGTCCAGAGGGTGAGGAAGGGTTGTTGGGTTTGGGTTCGGACATGTAGAGAGAATGGAGCGAAACAGAATGACTTCAAGAGTGTATCAGTCTGTAGTGGAAGGAAGGCGGGGTAGGGGTCGGCCTAGGGAAAAGGTTGGAGGGGGGGGGTAAAGGAGGTTTTGTGTGCGAGGGGCTTGGACTTCCAGCAGGCGTGCGTGAGCCCTGTTTGATAGGAGTGAATGGAGGGCGAATGGTTTTTTAAAAACTTGACGTGCTGTTGGAGTGTGAGCAAAGTAACATTTTTGAAGGGGTTCAGGGAAACCGGCAGGCCAGACTTGAGTCCTGGAGATGGGAAGTACAGTGCCTGCACTCTGAAGGAGGGGTGTTAATGTTGCAGTTTAAAAACTGTAGTGTAAAGCACCCTTCTGGCAAGACAGTGATGGAGTGAATGATGGTGAAAGTTTTTCTTTTTCGGGCCACCTTGCCTTGGTGGGAATCGGCCAGTGTGATGATAAAAAAAAAAAAAATATCTACCAACTTTTCCTGTTATTCCTTTAGCACGCATTTTGTGCGCTATTACGCCATGGTCACACTTGTCGAAGGCTTTTGCAAAGTCTGTGTGTATATTATACATGCATCTGCATTCTTTTTGTCTTCTAGTGCATCTAGGACCTTGTCGTAGTGATCGGTAATTAGTGATCAGTGATAAGTTTATTATTCCCCCTCCACTTGTGATGCTGACTGGTATATGATGATGTAAGCTGACATATAATGAGAAAGTTATAATGTTAGCAGGAAACCTGTGTTAGGATGCTTTGTCCAGGATTGAACTTTTATCAAATATCTAGTATCATACTTGATAAAATCCTTCCCGGGACAAAACATCATAATTTTCTAAGTTTCCAGTAATGTTGTCTACAAATGTGTTGTTTTTTCCTCACTACTGTGATAGTGGTTTAGAGAAATATACTGGTCACCTAAAGTCAGTACCTGGCCAGCCGGGCTGTGGTTCATACATCAGCTTACGTGTGGCCAGCACTAACAGCCTGGTTGATCAGGCCCTGATCCACCATGTGACAATGGCCTCTGGACTGTGGGTTTCATGGAAAGGTTGCTATGTTATTATTAAAACAGGTCAAACAAATTAAAACTTGCTGAATTTAGCAAAGGATAAATGGTCACTTAAGAATGACTGTAAACATTGCCAGGCAGTATTTTGCTGACAACTCGTAAGTTTACAGTTAAAAACAGGTTTTGCCATATACAACTTAGAAAGCTTTAGGAAACAAAATCAATATTTTAAAAGGAAAATGCACATAATTTTGAAGTATTCATTGTGTAGCCATTGTATGTAAATGACAGGAATGGGTTGTTCATTTCATTGTTTAGGACCTATAATAGCATAAACCAGTTAGTTAAGGACATAAGATAAGCACTGTCCAGGAAAACTAGCTGATTTTACATAGTGCAGTACTTCCCTTTTAAGGTGGGTGCCTTGATGTTGATGAAGGGCTCTTAATCCAAGGAACAGGAGCTACCCTCTTTCTCATGTCAACCTATATCCCCTTCCCCCCATATTCCCTTGGTGCTATGACTCTTATTGTATAGCACTTCCCCATGAATATAATAATAATGCACCAGTACTCTAATGTGTTAATTGTTATGCAAATACGTGTACGTGTATAGTTTGCCTGAAATGCTCTGCATAACCATGGACTTTCAGCATGCACTTGAGTGTCGCTCATTTCTGTATAAATAATGTACGTATCATGTTGAAATAAACTTGTATGTACTAATAAAAATATGTTGTATATGGCTATTGTGATTGCAATATAATCATTACTAATGTTTTTCCTTCCAGGGTGAGGCAAGTCTTAGTTGAAGGGCTCTGGGTTTGAGGAACTGGATCTGCTTTTATCTATCCCTTTCCTTGCAGCAATTTGGCTATACCTTACAAGAGGTAAAAAATGAAATAAATAAAGTGACTTCTGTAATAATTTTTGTAGCATTATATACTTCAGTAATAAGACCTGTGTCATGAAATATACAATCAATTATAAAATGTGATTTCTGGGCCTTGAACTCCCCTCAAGGAAGGTTCCTTGATGTTGGTGAGGGGCTCTTGATTTAGGGAATTGGATCTGTGCTCCAGTTCCCTGAATTAAGCCTGAATGCCTTCCACATCCCCCCCAGGTGCTGTATAATCCTCCGGGTTTAGCGCTTCCCCCTTGATTATAATAATAATGGGCCTTGAACTCTGAACTGATTTGTGGACCTTTCTTTTTTAACGTTCCCTACATAATAAGATTTGATGTGTGACTTGTGAAATATGTTTTATGGAAACTGACTTGCAAACACTGAAATATTTATATACTATGAATAATGGAGTATGACAAAAAGATATTATGGTGTATGGCTTTCTGATGAACTAAAGTATTCTTGATGTTATCATTCAAGTGAATTGTCCTGATTTACATTCATTCACAGATAGGCCTTAAATCTAGTAAATACACTAAAATACGGTGGTACTGAATATTGATGTTAACATACAGTATGAGGCAGACCTAACTAAAGTTACATACTGTTTTTTTTTTTTTTTTTTTGTATTTGGAAAAAACTTTCCAGTAGATTTTAGTTATTTTCAAATTTTGCAAAAATTGCTGTATGACCCTTGTAGGTTTAGCACTTCTTTTTTATTACAACAATAATAATACAAAAATAATTCTACAAGTTTAATGAAAGTTGCATGTTACACACACAGTATAGGCATACAAGAGTTACAAATTTTTCTAGAGAATACATAATGTAAGTCATAAAAGGCTAATTTCTAAATATTAACAAGGATCAATATAAAAGCCATTAAGAACATAGGAATTTATTGTGCTTCAGTAAAAGTTTAAAAATTATGACCTATTTTTCTTTTCAGGTACTTGAACAGTCACCTCCAGTGGTAAAATTCATACATCTGAGAGCCAAGTTTCATTCAACACATCTAAGACCATTCCAGAAGCATCATGATTAGAAATACGGTATAGTAATGGTCTAAATCTTCATTGTATTTCACTATACAGCATTTGGTTACTTGTGTATTACATGTACATGTTGGTTACTTGGTTTCTCTTGCACAGTTACATTGCATTCAATTGCAGTAATGTGATAATTTACTATGATGTGAAAAACTTAATATTTACAAGATTTTATATACTGTACAATGTTTGAAAACAGAACTATAAATATAGAACTCAGTATAATGATAAATGATTCACTGATTGTAATACAAAACTTGGGAGAATTTTTAGGTCTTTACATTGACAACAATTTGAAATGAAATCCTCATAGCTAATGCATATCCTACCCAAGATCTCCATAACAGTGGGCATCTTGTCTTAAGTTACTATGTGCATCAAACACAATTACTTACTCTGTTGTTTCTAATCTATCTTTACCTCGCCTGTGGTATTTGTGCCTGTGGATCTACTACAGCAAATTGCCAAAAGCTAATGGTAGCTCATTGAAAAGCTTCCTTACAAATAATTTCTCAAGCAAGTGCTAGACATGAAAATGGTATACAATACTGACAGGTTGATAAGTAAGACACATGTGCAGCAGTTAGGTATCTTTATTCTGAAATGTTTTGCCTACACAGTAGGCTTCTTCAGTCAAGTACAGAGGAGTTAGCAGACAGCAGAGATGTGAAGACAATGTAATCAGTCCATTACCCTTGAAGATAGTTTTGAGGTGGTTAGTCCCTCAGCCTGGAGAAGAGTTTTGCTCCATAGTCTGAAACAATGTGAAGTTGAAGCAACAGTATGGAAACTTGTATACTGTCAAAAGCTGAGGCACAGCCCACTAGTAGAAGAAAGAATGTAATCATTGAGAGGGTAGGTTCCTCTCAAATCCATCCCTTCTCTCTCATCTTGTCGGTATTGTATACCAGTATCCTGGTACAGAAACACCTTTGACAACTTTTTCGAGAGAATGGATAGATTTGAGAGGGACCTATCCTCTCAATGATTACATTCTTTCTTGTACTAGTGGGCTATGCCTTACCTTTTTGACAGTGTATAAGTCTCCATACTGTTGCTTCAACTTCACATTGTTCCAGGCTATGGAGTAAAGCTCTTCTCCAGGCTGAAGGACTGACAGACTAATAGAAGCTGCTAGCAATTTAATAGAAAAGCAAGGTTAATGGATGGTAGATATGTTTAACCATTTTAACAAAAAACAGTATTTAAGTGTCTACATGACTTAAGAAATGACGGCAGTGAAGGGACTTGAGCTAGAGTTCGTCACGGCCACGCTAGCTGGAGATTCGTCTGTAAAAACTTGCATTTGTGCTCACAGAGGTGCCTGTGCTAACCTTCCTATGGTGTAGAAATATACCTAGTTGGATGAATCTTATTGTGGCTAGCTGGTCTAGTGGCTAACGCGACGGGCTGGAGTTTTGAGACTCTATGACCGCGGGTTCAATCCCGGCCGGGGTATGGTTTATCTAAGTGTAATTGCCTTCTCTCCTAAAATGTGTAGATTTATGAAAAAATAATTTGTCTTTCAGGTATGTGGAGTTGGTCGCTGTGTGTCCAATGTTTGGGGTAAAAGAATGTTTCAAGCATCCGGAGTTAAGCACAACGATGATGATCTTCAGACGCAACGAGTTGAGAGGCTAGAGAAATGTATGTTTTATTTGAACATTTTGCCAAGAGAAATGTTTTTATCAGTAAACAAATTGTATATTTTGTATGTGTTAGTGTAGTTATTAACATGAATGGATTATTATTAAATAATCCATTCATGTTAATAACCTTGAGGCAGAAGTGTTCTCTTGTAAGCAAGGTCTACACGACCTTCCTCTGAACTCCCACAGCTCCTGGCTGCCACTTTTCTTGGGTATTTTCATCCTGATTTTATTTTCCTTACCCATTCTCAAAATATTTATCAGAGCATAGATGCTAGGCAATAAAGGCAAAATTTGTTTATAGGAAAATACCTGAGCAGTACAATTTTCTGTGAGTTAAGGCATCTCAGTCTAGCCTGTGTTTATGTATTTTTTTTTATCACTGTCAGACTTTTATCTCTGCATAAATTCTGAAATTTTAAATTCATCAGTAACAGGATGCAGTCTAGGTATATACACTGACATTGTATATAGCTTTACAGATGTAACTACTTGTATAGTGCAAATTAATGACTATATATACACTGTAGCTGTAAACCAGGTGATGATCTTGGGCAGAGTTGGTGGCAATGCAGAGAAACGTGGCAGTGAGGAGCATCCTGTGGTGACCTTCTCTGTGGCCACACACAACAACTACCGTAAAGGAGAAGGTAGGGGATGGCTGTACTGGCCTTTCATACTAGTAACCTGATTTGGTGGGGATGGGTGAATTGTACCTTATATGTATATTGTTATTACTTTCAAGCAGCCATTTGTTTACCCTTTTACTTTCCAGCTGCCTTTTGTTAACCTTCCAGTTGCCTTTTATTCACTTTACCCTCTCCCATCTTAGTCTTTAATGAAAAGGTTCACTGTGGTTTCACTAAAATAATTTAAATGTTAAAATACAAATTATATTTTTGCATAATATGTGCCTGGATCAGGCAAACTACATCTTGGTTAGTTTTCCCTAGAGTATATGTAAACTATTCTCTATCTTTTATTATCAAAAGAAGTGCTAAACCTACAAGGGTCATACAGTGTCCTCTATCTTTTGCAGATCTGATTCAGCAGACAGATTGGCATCGTGTTGTCGTGTTTAAGCCATATCTTCGTGAGACGGTTTACCGCTTCTTAACAAAAGGCCAAAGAGTCATGGTCCAGGGAAGGATTGGCTACTTGGAGCGCAGAGACCCGGAGAATAATTCCGTTGTTATGAAGACTGCTACGATTGTGGCAGATGAAGTCATTTTTTTCAACTGAGGTACAAAAGGTAGTGAATAATACTGTATTGGTTTTTTGACTGGAGAGTAATGCTGTATGACCCTTGTAGGTTTAATGCTTAGCAACTAATTCAGAGGATAACATTTAGAGAGTATAGCTGAGGAATAGTATAGTTTAGTTAAGAGTGGGACTGAGTAAAGATGAACCCTTCATCTTTTGGCTTCCCAAGAAAAGTAGACCAAAATTTTTATGTTCAGTCTAAGATGAGCTTTTAGGGAGGCAATGCAAGGATTCCAGGATATTAAGAATCAGACAGCAAGCCAAGACATTTATTGTCAAATGTGTATTCCATTTTTATAATTAATGAACATGAATATTATTATATTTATTATTTTTTATTATCACACTGGCCGATTCCCACCAAGGCAGGGTGCCCCGAAAAAGAAAAACTTTCACCATCATTCACTCCATCACTGTCTTGCCAGAAGGGTGCTTTACACTACAGTTTTTAAACTGCAACATTAACACCCCTCCTTCAGAGTGCATGCACTGTACTTCCCATCTCCAGGACTCAAGTCCGGCCTGCCGGTTTCCCTGAATCCCTTCATAAATGTTACTTTGCTCACACTCCAACAGCACGTCAAGTATTAAAAACCATTTGTCTCCATTCACTCCTATCAAACACGCTCATGCATGCCTGCTGGACGTCCAAGCCCCTCGCACACAAAACCTTTACCCCCTCTCTCCAACCTTTCCTAGGCTGACCCCTACCCCGCCTTCCTTCCACTACAGACTGATACACTCTTGAAGTCATTCTGTTTCGCTCCATTCTCTCTACATGTCCGAACCACCTCAACAACCCTTCCTCAGCCCTCTGGACAACAGTTTTGGTAATCCCGCACCTCCTAACTTCCAAACTACGAATTCTCTGCATTATATTCACACCACACATTGCCCTCAGACATGACATCTCCACTGCCTCCAGCCTTCTCCTCGCTGCAACATTCATCACCCACGCTTCACACCCATATAAGAGCATTGGTAAAACTATACTCTCATACATTCCCCTCTTTGCCTCCAAGGACAAAGTTCTTTGTCTCCACAGACTCCTAAGTGCACCACTCACTCTTTTTCCCTCATCAATTCTATGATTCACCTCATCTTTCATAGACTCATCCGCTGACACGTCCACTCCCAAATATCTGAATACGTTCACCTCCTCCATACTCTCTCCCTCCAATCTGATATTCAATCTTTCATCACCTAATCTTTTTCTTATCCTCATAACCTTACTCTTTCCTGTATTCACCTTTAATTTTCTTCTTTTGCACACCCTACCAAATTCATCCACCAATCTCTGCAACTTCTCTTCAGAATCTCCCAAGAGCACAGTGTCATCAGCAAAGAGCAGCTGTGACAACTCCCACTTTATGTGTGATACTTTATCTTTTAACTCCACGTCTCTTGCCAAGACCCTCGCATTTACTTCTCTTACAACCCCATCTATATTATTATTATTATAATCAAAAAGAAGCGCTAAGCCACAAGGACTATACAGGCCATCTATAAATATATTAAACAACCACGGTGACATCACACATCCTTGTCTAAGGCCTACTTTTACTGGGAAAAAATTTCCCTCTTTCCTACATACTCTAACTTGAGCCTCACTATCCTCGTAAAAACTCTTCACTGCTTTCAGTAACCTACCTCCTACACCATACACTTGCAACATCTGCCACATTGCCCCCCTATCCACCCTGTCATACGCCTTTTCCAAATCCATAAATGCCACAAAGACCTCTTTAGCCTTATCTAAATACTGTTCACTTATATGTTTCACTGTAAACACCTGGTCCACACACCCCCTACCTTTCCTAAAGCCTCCTTGTTCATCTGCTATCCTATTCTCCGTCTTACTCTTAATTCTTTCAATTATAACTCTACCATAACACTTTACCAGGTACACTCAACAGACTTATCCCCCTATAATTTTTGCACTCTCTTTATCCCCTTTGCCTTTATACAAAGGAACTATGCATGCTCTCTGCCAATCCCAAGGTACCTTACCCTCTTCCATACATTTATTAAATAATTGCACCAACCACTCCAAAACTATATCCCCACCTGCTTTTAACATTTCAATCTTTATCCCATCAATCCCGGCTGCCTTACCCCCTTTCATTTTACCTACTGCCTCACGAACTTCTCCCACACTCACAACTGGCTCTTCCTCACTCCTACAAGATGTTATTCCTCCTTGCCCTATACATGAAATCACAGCTTCCCTATCTTCATCAACATTTATCAATTCCTCAAAATATTCCCTCCATCTTCCCAATACCTCTAACTCTCCATTTAATAACTCTCCTCTCCTATTTTTAATTGACAAATCCATTTGTTCTCTAGGCTTTCTTAACTTGTTAATCTCACTCCAAAACTTTTTCTTATTTTCAACAAAATTTGTTGATATCTCACCCACTCTCTCATTTGCTCTCTTTTTACATTGCTTCACCACTCTATTATTATTATTATTATAATCAAAACTAATTGTTAAACCACCAGTCATACAGTGCTGCAGGGTAGAGGGTGTAAGGTCAGTGAAGCATAATCAAAGGTTGTGTAATAAATCTGTTGCTGTCAAAAGGTTGAAGAGGGAGTGTCAAAGGTGGGGTCATCAGCAAGGAGGGAAGATAAAGTAAGGGTGTTAGAGCAGTGACAATGTCAAAGATAAATTGTGTGCTCACTGATAGCCTGAACAGTCCAAGAGAATATGGCAAACTGAAATTGGAATCTGACAACTTGCACAGTGAACCTACTAATTATCCCTCTCCCTTTTGCCACCTGGTACCCCCGCTTCCTTCCTGCCCTGCAGCGCTGTATAGCCCTTGTGGTTTAGCGCTTCTTTTTTTATTATAATAATGCACAGTGAAACTGGGCACCTCTGTGCGTGTATAAAAAAAAAATTATCCTATTTTTTTGTTAGGTTTAGCCTTCTTTCTGATTATAATAATTATTATCCTATTTTCCAATACAGAAAGCAGAGAAAATATGATCAAGGACATCATCAGTGGTGATGCTTCCTGTGACATAACCGAGGCTAGTGGCTGCTTGATGAAGATAATGAGCAGCCACTACTATTGTATCTTCTGAGTGTAGCAAGTTACCACACACTTTATCTATTAGTTCAAGTGAAGATTCTTGAGTTATGTCACTGTTAGAGCCCTTAACAACATTCATACCATTAAATGAAAGTGATGACTGATGATACCCATATGATGCTTTCTGATTATTTTCTGATACGCTGTGTTCGAGCATTTCCTTAGCTCCTGTAACTTTATTCCCTGAACTTATAAATGTAAGAGCTTCTAGGCAAGCTGAAATGTGTGCTCTGTGTCTTGCTGAAGTTAATGTAGGGTTTTCTGCTGTTCCTACTTCACACATAGAGGCACAAAGATGTTTTAACTTCTGAAGTACATTTGTAAACCCTTCTTGGGTTTTAACAGAGAGCAAAATGCAAGAATCTTTCAAGACACTAGCAAGCAAATTCCTGTCCTTTGCACATTCAATTAAGTCTACTTTATTAATCAATGTAAGATAATTTTTATTTTGTATCCACTGTAATGATATACCTGCAGGAAAATTATCCCTGCTATTACTGTTTTCACACTCATAAATCCCCAGTTCTTTAAAATAGTTACTCAGAAATGTGTTCCAGTCAAAGTCTTTTTTCTTAACAAGCTGTAAAACCTCTAGTGCTTCAAGAATAATCACAGCTGCGTCAGCATGACGGGCTCTTGCTTGTGCTCTCTTTACCCCCTCTACCTCGATTATGTCTTCTGTTTGTCGAAGACCTGCTGTATCACTGATGATAACTGGGTAGCCACCAAGATCCAGCGAAGATTCAACCACATCTCGTGTTGTACCTATAAATTATTAGGATTACATTCAATATATCTAAAATACTGTTTCTTGAAAGCTAACATACAACAGCTGATTATTTTATTATTATTATAATGGGGAAGTGCTAAACCTGTAGGATTATATATTGCCTGTGGGGGGATGGAAGGTATTCAGGCTTAATTTAGGGAACTGGAGCACAGATCCAGTTCCCTAGATCAAGAGCCCCTCACCAGCCTCAAGGAACCTCCCTTGAGGGGTACCACAGCTGACTCTTTGCCTGTGTGAAACTGCAGCAATAGCCAATAAGTAGTGATAAATAACTCAAGACAGGTACAGTTTTGGTGACATGCAAGAACCTTCCTAGAGTGAAATCTAGGAAATCAAAGATACACTCATGTATGGTATACACACATTTATGCCTTATTTGTTACAAAATTTAATATACATTTTCCTACCTTTCCTGTTATACTTATTGACCTTATGGGTTATCACTCCATGATTGCATTTGTCAAATGCCTTAACAAAGTCCTTGTGGACCACATCAGCATTTTTTTTTTTTCCATAGCTTCTGCAATTTTGTCACAATGATTAGTAAATTAATGAATACATGTTGGTGGCTGTTATTAAGGTAAGACTATTTACATGAAAGCATAACTTCTGATTCTCTAATTTTCTATTTTAAGAGGTATGAGGTCTACTGTATCAGAAGCTTTTCTTAGCATTTCAAGGATAATATGTGAAGAGAACATGGTGAGTTGCAGGAAATAAGAACATAAGCACTATAGTAGGCCTACTAGCCCATTCTGACAAGTCACTTCTACTACTAGCACAGGCCAGTAGGCCTACTGCAGTGCTTATATTCTTACTCCCTCTATCTCATGTTACCTTTATGTATCCTCTATGCCCTTGTATTGTTTATATCAACTCGTTAAAGTTCCTGGAGAGCAAACATAGCTGTAATATCTTATGTCTCATTAGTTACTATTGTGTTCTTTTACCTAGCATAAATATCAAGTTCTAGTTTACTTGAAAGAATCTGCATAAACATTGGCTTTTTAAAATGTATGAAATAAGTATCGCCTAATACAAACATTTTGGAGGTAAAACGTTTGTATTACCATGAGTAAGAGTTGCTTACATGGACCCTTTTCTATGAAACTATCACTCACGAATAAATTAAGGAAAGCAGTCTTACAGAGATGAACTAAATAGTACTGTATTAGGAAATTTAATTTCATACTTCCTTCCTGTGTGATATCACCACAGTTGTTCAATATATTTATAGATGGAGTTGTAAGAGAAGTGAATGCTCAGGTGTTGGGAAAATGTATGGGGTTAAAACAAAAAATCTTACACAAAATGGGAGTTGTCACAGTTGCTTTTTGCTGATGACACTGCTTTTGGGAGATTCTGAAGAGAAATTGTATAGGTTGGTGGATGAATCTGGGAGGGTATTTAAAAGTGATAGTTTAGATATTTGGGAGTGGACTTATCAGCAAATGGGTCTATGAAAGACTAGGTGAACCACAGAACTGATGAGGGAAAAAAGGAAGAGAGGTGCACTGAGGAGTCTGTGGAAACAAAGACCATTATCCATAGAAACAAACAGGGTAATGTATGAGAGTATAGTGGTACAACGCTCTTGCGTGTGTGAAGCATGGGTGATGAATGTTGCAACAAGAAGACTAGGCAGTGGAGATGTCATGTCTGAGGGCAATGTGTGGTGTGAATATTATGTAGACTGCACGACCCTTGTTGGTTTAGTGCTTTATTTGATTATAGTAATTTTCCAGAGAATCAGTAGCTTCGAGATTAGGTGGTGGTGTGGAATTTCTAAAAGTATTATCCAGAGGGCTGAGGAGGGGTTATTGAGATGGTTCAGACACTTAAAGAGGATGGAACAAATTAATAGAAGGAGGGCAGGGTACGGGTCAACCTAGGAAGGGTTGGAGAGACGAGGTATAGGTTTTGTGTGTGAGGGGGTTTGGACTTCATACAGGTGTGCATGAGCATGTTAGATAGGAGTGAGGGGAGGCAAATTGTTATTTATGACTTGACATACTGTTGGAGTGTGAGCAAATTAACATTTATTAAGGGATTCAAGGAAACCAGTTTGCCAGACTTGAATCCTGGAGGTGGGATGTACAGTGCTTGTTCTCTGAAGGGGAAGGGGGTGGAGATATGTTGCAGTTTTTGAATTGTAATGTTGGCACACCTCTGGCAAGACAGTGATGGAGTGAATGATAAAAATGTTTCTTCTTTTTTCAGGTCACCCTGCCTTGGTGAAAAATTGCCAGTGTGTTAATAAAAAAAATATTTCCTAACCTGGAATAGGAGAAACAATGGCTGCTGGTCTTTGCGTGAGAATATTCAAGAAGCTGCTCTTGCCTACGTTGGGTCTACCAAGGATGGTTAGTTGCAGGCCACTTCTTAGCCTCTCTCCACGCCGATCATCTCCCAGATGACATTTCAGTTCTTGGATAAGTTTACAAATTTTGACTTCAATGTCTGCCAATATACCCTCCTGCAATAAGAACACAATTAAAAACTGCTTCCTCTAAATGGATATTACATAGCAATTAAATTTTATTTAAAATGTATACACAGTATGTATTTTATCTCAAAGTTTGAAAATTATGAAATTAATTTGATGTACCATTCAATTTTAACCAGTAAAGTTCATATCTTGTTAAGTAATATTTCTTAAACCTGTACAGTATAACTACCATGTTATTTTTGTAATGTGTTTTAGTAGCAAAAAATAAACAGTGGCTTACTTGTATGATGTTAATTTAACCACAAGTGGAACTAAGCGAGTGTCACAGTATTCCTAGTAATATTCTATCAATGGGTAGAGTATATCTGCACTGGTTCATAAGTCTGCTAGGAAGACCTCAGATGAACTATTATACTGTAGAATAACACCTTTGGTAAGTGCCCCAAGTTAACTCGTTAAGTGCCATTGTATATTGTGAGCTATAAGAGATGCCACAGTGATTTTGATAATTTGTGCTAGTTAGTTTGCAACTCATACAGGTTTATCATTTAGAACATAAGAATGTAGGAACACTGCAGAAGGCCTACTGGCCCATACGAGGCAGGTTCTTATCAAAACGACATCTACCTAAAGCTACTCAAGAAATAACTCCCGTACCCCTTGACACCAATCAAACCCAGCCCCTCCCACTCATATATTTGTCGTCTCTTCTTAAAGCTACCCAAGGTCCTAGCCTCTATCACCCCACTGGGAAGACTGTTCCATGCATCTACAACTCTGTTAGAAAACCAGTACTTACCTAAATTTATCCAACTTAAATCCATTATTCCTGCTTCTTACCTGGTTCGACACCCTCAGTACTTTATTAATGTCTCCCTTGTTTATGCCCGTCATCCACTTATACACTTCAATGATATCTCCCCTCATTCTACGCCTCTCCAGAGAGTGGAGATTTAAGGCTTTAAGTCTATCTTCATACAGGAGGTTCCTTACACAGTAAATCATTTTAGTCATTCTTCTCTGTATGTTCTCTAATGAGTCTATGTCCATCCTGTAGTAAGGGGACCAAAACTGAGCAGCATAATCTAAATGAGGCCTCACTAGTGATGTATAGAGCTGTAAAATAACTTTTGGACTTCTGTTTTGTTTTTAAGATAATCCATTAACTGTTAATTAATGGTATAATTCTTATTAAAGATGATACAGAACTTTATAGAGGGGCACCTGAACTGTATTGGTGCTTTGGAGAGTGATGGTGAAAGTGGTTATTCTTTTTTGGATCACCTTACCATGGTGGGAGATGGCCAGTTTAAAAAGAAAAAAGAAAAAATTAACTCATTTGTATAACTCTTATCTCTGGTCTTCTAATTTTTCTTACATTTCTGTTGTATCACAGAGGAGAGAAAAAAATTCTAATACTCCAGACCAGGTAGAGGGTTACTCTGTAATGCCTTTCCCATTCCCCAATCTAGCACCTGGAAGCACACCAAGTAGCAAATGCTAAAAGTAACAAAGGAATAGTAGTGTACTAGGTCATATCTTATCCAATGTCATGTAGTGGCATGATTTTGAATTAAAATATCAGAAAATTTCAAGGGGACTACTAAATGAGTGAAAATGAGTGTGTTTCCTTCTTTGAATTGCCTTACCTTTGTGGCCAATTGATAATGTGATTAAAAACAATCTCTAAATGTTAACTAGGTGCATATGAAGTGTAGAATAATATTGTTCACCTAAATAATGCTATTGCAGGTATATGACCATAAATTCAGATACAACCAATTTGTATTACAGCAGTTTATGCACAGACAGAGCTGCAATCACAGCTGTCACACACATCTTTCAGCTAGAGTTGAATGACTAAATTCTAAAATATATATATAAAAAATGTATATGTTTAAACAGTCATGTACAGCCTTACTGATATGTTTTCATCTTCACTAAAATCAATATAAGCTTCGAGGCCAGCTCTGCACTGCAAGAGTGTTTGTCTCCAACGATTGTAGAGCTGAGCTAGTACACCTTCCATCTGACGGAGTGCCAGCTTGCGCTGGGCTTCAGTTTCTGCATGTATGAGATCTCCAAGCCCCTCCACTGAAGTCAAATCCAGCTTGCCATGATAAAATGCTCTTTTTGTGAAGTCGCCTGAAAAATTAATTTCTGTAGGTACATAATGTAAGAGATGAATGTAGTAATACAGAAGCTTACCTCAGATTCTAAGTCACACCCTAATTATTATTATGTACAAAACCCGATATAAGCTATGGTGGTTTTTCATCCACTCACTCAACTTTGTTACATACAGCTAATTCTTTTCCAAAAGTACTCTTGGACATTTTGAAACATTCAGTACTGGTTTCAAACCATAACATTATAGATGAAATTTTAAGAATTTATACTGAGCAATTCAGATTAGTCTAGGTAGTAGGTTGGTAGACAGCAACCGCCCAGGGAGGTACTACCGTCCTGTCAAGTGAGTGTAAAACGAAAGCCTGTAATTGTTTTACATGATGGTAGGATTGCTGGTGTCCTTTTTTTCTGTTTCATAAACATGCAAGATTTCAGGTACGTCTTGCTACTTCTACTTACACTTAGGTCACACTACGCATGCACGTACAAGCGTATATATGCATACCCCTCTGGGTTTTCTGCTATTTTCTTTCTAGTTCTTGTTCTTGTCTATTTCCTCTTATCTCCATGGGGAAGTGGAACAATTCTTCCTCCGTAAGCCATGCATGTCATAAGAGGTGACTAAAAGGCCGGGAGCAAGGGGCTAGTAACCCCTTTTCCTGTATATATTACTAAATGTGAAAGGGGGGGACTTTTGTTTTTCCTTTTGGGCCACCCTGCCTTGGTGGGATGCGGCCGGTGTGTTGAAAGAAAGAAAGAATAATTCAGATTAGCAAAGGATATGAAAATTAAGGCCAAAATGTCTATGCATCTGAGCTGGAACAATTTTGTAAAACAATGATTGGGTCTGCAAACTATAAATTGTTCCCTTTCCCAAGCAAACTGGGTAGGAACAGCTGGTGAGGAATTGTGTGTTAGCAAACTGACAGACTAAGTTCCACTAGGCAACTCTAACTCTGGTACAAAGAGGCCTGTCATATTAAAGATATAAACAAAGCTAACACTACAGGAAAGGAATTCCTTCCAAATTAATGAACCCCAAATTCCCCTCATTCAGTGACATATTAACTCCATGTTTAGTTTCATGTAGTAATACCCTTTTAGTTTCCATAACCTGGCATTTTATTACTCACAACTTGTATAGCATTACTAGCTATTTCATCTAAATCTATCCCACTTGTAATTATGCTAACATATACACCATACTTTCCACTACAGTAAAGGTCCAATATAATGAACTAATAGGGGGAGGGGGGTGTCCGATTTACTGAAAATTTTGCTACACAGGAGAGCCCCGCGTTATGGCATTTCGTTAATACAAACATTTCAGATTATGACCAAATCTATTTTCATACCAGCCTGTGCTAGTTTGTACCCTGGGAGAATACTGAGTGCAGATAAAACAGCAGCAATGACAGCTGGACCTCCATGTACATGTAGCTCACAGCTGTCCTCTCCTGTGAAGCTGTGTGGACCAGGAAACCAGAGCACTAATCCTCGATCCAGGCTCTCACCTAGGAAAAATTAAGAGATAATTAATGAGGGTTGTGATACTTTTCCTGCATTAACTTTAAAATAAACGATGCATATTTTTTTAACATAACCCCTTCTCCTGTATAAAATTTTTGGGCCACCCTGCCTTGGTGGGATGCGGCCAGTTTGTTGGAAAAAAAAAAAATTTAACATCAACCATCTCCCACTGAAGTAGGGTGAGCCCCTCTAAAAAAGAAACACTTTCACTATCATTCAAAAACAGAGATATAAACTTAACTAAACCATATGACCCACGCATCCAGCCTGTAGACATAGCCCACAAACTTTATCGCTTCTTCTCTACTATAGGATCAAAACTAGTAAGCAAAATCCCAATCTCAAATACTCAGGCAAGAGACTACCTCACTGGAAATTACCCAAATACTCTATATCTATCTCCTACGAATCCTACAGAAGTCTCACTCATTATAAAGTCACTTAACAAGAAACCTAAATAACTTGCCACCACTCATGTACAAAAAAGCAGCACATGTGTTTTTTGCCCATTATTGCAAATCTGTTTAACAAATCAGTAGAATCTTCAACCTTCCCATCCATACTCAAGATAGCAAAGGTTACTCTGATCCTCAAAAGAGGCAATCCAACTGAACTGAATAACTACAGATTTAGATCAAACTTGCCCTTACTATCTAAAATCTTTGAAAAAAATAATACATAAATGGGTCTTCTACTACCTAATATCTCACAACATACTTAACCCTGACAGTCTGGGTTTAGACTGAAAAAAGTACAAATGATGCAATTAACTTTAAATGCTCAAATTGCTATGTTTACCTTGTGCAGTGCTTTAAAAAAAATAATATCCTTTGGGGCTCTTCAGAGACCTGCAGAAAGTATATGATACAGTGGACCACAATATTTGCTCCTTAAATCAGAACACTGGGATGAGAAGACTACCTAAAATCTTATCTTAACAACAGATACCAGTATGTCTCTACAAATGGTGTACCTCAACTACTCAGCCTGTAGCTGTTGGAGTGCCAGAGGGCAGTGTCCATGGCCCTCTTCTCTTTCTCATTTACATCAATGATCTCCCCAATGCATCTTATCTCTTTGAACCAGTTCTATTCACAGATATCACTACTTTTGTCTTCTCCCACTCAAACCTGACTATGCTTAGTGACACTGTTAATGACTAGCTACTAAAAGTATCTATCTGGATGATGACCAGCAAACTCACTCTCAATATAGACAAAACCTACTACAAGCTGTTTGGAAACAGAGCCTTAAATATCCAACTTAACATATTGATTAATTTTTTCCCTATTACAAGACATTATGAGGAGGATCAAGCCTCCACCATGTCTTGTGCTGAATGACCCACATGGGTTTAGCACGTAACTTGAATTATTAAATTGTGTGCTCACACTCCAACAGCACGTCAAGTCCTAAAAAAAACCATTTGCCTCCATTCTCTTCTACTTATCATCGTCATGCATTCCTGCTGGAGCCTATGCCCCTTGCAAACAAAACCTTCTGTACCCCCTCCCTCCAACCCTTCCTAGGATGATTCCCGTCCCTGCCTTCCTTCCACTACAGATTTATACACCCTCCAACTCATTCTATTGCATTTCATCCTCTCTAAATGTCCAAACCACCACAACAACCCCTTCTCAGCCCTCTGGATAATACTTTTGAAAGCCCTGCACCTTTTAGTTTCCACTGCCTTTTGCCTTCTGCTTGTTGCAATATTCAAATATCCCAGCTGTATAAAGTTTTTCTTATTTTTAGTAATTTATGCAAGAGAAGGGGTTACTAACCTATTGCTCCCAGCCTTTTAGTCACCTCTTCCGACACACATGGCATACGGATGAAAGATTCTTTTTCACTTTATGAAGGCTAAACACACTTAACAAAAATTTTTTAAGTGAAATATATACAATATACTGTAGAGCATTGTACTATTTTTACTTAATTTTCAGTATTAAAATATTATAAAACAATATATTTATACTATTATGTAGTAATTTACAAAATTATAAAGTAACTTCCTGAAAGATTTAAGATAACCTTGAAAATTTCACCAGTAACAGGATGAACAATTCTCCTGAGCGTAGCTACGCGGGGCGATGGGAGTGAGGCTGGCACTGTCATGCTTGTAAAAACATCTGCAGCCCTCTTGCCTGTCACTCTAAGTACCGCAATGCCACATTTACCTTGCCCTAAGGAAATAATTGTATTTGTTAATGTTAAAATAAATGAGTGCCCAAATAATGGTTTACACAGAAAACAGGTGATGGCTAATTATATATAGTATCTACCTTTTAAGAGCTGCTTAACAGCTATTAGCATCATCAGGTGATATTTATCATAACAGCCTGTTAAAGTAATTTATATAATAGAATCCTACAGTGCTCATGAGGATCCTCACTCAGAATTGCACTTCTTTAACTACCAATTACCAGCACAATACTTTCTCATCTGGGATGTCACATTTACATATTGCATTAGCATGTTTGTTCCAAACCAATATAGTCTCATGTACATTAAATATTATACTAGGTGTTGTTTTCTGGCGGTCTATTTTTACTTAAGTGTAGAGTCACGTGCCATATGAGTATATAATATGGGTTGCAAGAAAGCTCACCAGTGAATGCACTGCCATGCATTACTACACTCCATTGTCGTTTGACATCAGTAATGAGGACAGGCTACAGAATTGTCATAAAATGTATAAAAAAATCCTCATGACATACAGTAAGCCTTGAATATTTGTGTTATACTCTCTACTGGTGTTTGATGCTTTTATTATGTACCACATACCCATCCTGTGGGCTGGAGTCAAAAACGATTATAAAGGCACAAAATGGGTTTGGGGAATGGACCCAAACATTTTAAGCAAGTTACAGCAGTACTAAACTATTTACAATTTATTGATAAATATATTCCTAATATTAAGTTCATTACACTATTCTGTTGATTAAGCAAGTTACTGCCAGACACTGATGTTGCACATGAAAAGGTTATCAATACAATACAGTACATACTGTACTTTAATTCATTAAAATATATTTAATATATTTTACATCTGTAACAAAAAAAAAAAAAAAAAATTCCAACTAGTTCCTATAGCCAATAATCCTATTTAAAGCATACTCATAATATACAATAACCTAACTTGCAAATTCATTACTTCATGCATTAACTTTTGATAACACATGGCAAGTGCAGAGAGCTGAGAAGACTCATTACATTTAACCCTACTAAGTAAGCAAGTAAGTTTATATAGTTCATATGGTAGAGTACAAGATATAAAGATAATAGACAATATAATAACATATGTGAGTGAAATTAATGGAGGATTAATGGACATTATTGATCAAGATTGTTGTGTCATCTCCGTTGAATACTGTATCTATAAAATTTTCAAATAGCGTAAGTGATTTTAAACATTAGCAAACACAACAGCAATGCACCTGATGACAGAGCATAAATATAGAGAGGCAAGTCGGTGAGCTGTTTTCCACTGGTTGACCCTAAGTAGTGCACTGTGTAACACCAGATATCCCCGGGTGAACCACATCTTTCATACCAAAATTGCTGTTGCACAACCTCAAATTCTGAAAGAAATATATCTTATGAAAGGAACTAACAGTTATCAGTCTCAATGAAGGATACTATTCATAAATGAATATTGTAGCTCAGATCTGAATTACAAAAAAAGGCAGAAGGACCCTGTGTGTGGGTTAAATGTTGTTTTTCAATTATAAGGTGGAAGTCAGAACTAAGTCTTTCACATTACTGCCATACACAGCTTCATCTATGTTTACTGTGTTCCCTAAGATTCAGATGTTTATACAGTACTGCCAGGAAGACAATAATGTGAAAAGGATTGACCTATTGATCATTGAGATTCCAAATCCAGCCATATATCTAACAAATTATAAAACAAAATAAAACTAGAAGCAGTCTGTACATATGTGGCACTGGTCAGCATTAATAACCATACAATATTACAAGATCTATCCATATCTTGCTCAGAGGACTGTAACGTGGGATTCTGCAATTACCTGCATTCCAAGCCATGAATTAAGGCTGAAATACGCTTTATGGATACAGCACAAGAAATATATGTAGTATTGGACCCCAATGGAAATAAGTCATTTTGTCTGAATTTTTTTTTTTTTGGAGTTATCCTATGTAATTTACACATGTTACTATGTATGATAATTGTACTTGTGTGTACCTGTACCTAAATAAACTTAATATTGTACCTCATGTAATACTTCAACTACATAACTACTATAGTATGCAGATAAACTGATCAAAAATATAGAAGAGTTTATGACTAACAATCATTTCTTTTTATCAAGGGTAAGATCCAGATGCATGGAAGTCATACAGTGTCTGGGGAACAGGAGGCATTTAGGTTTCATCCAAGGAAGGGGAAGATAAATCCAGTTCCTCGGATCAACAGGACTTAAACCATTAAGATTCATACAGGATTGAAGGTAATAGAGATGAAACTTATTACCCGGATTATTCACCTGAAGGATTATCAACCCAGAAAGCCACTATGTCTGGCTTATTCTTTGACCTTCTTGCCCAGGTTGTGACCCACAAGTCTGTAGCGCACACAGCTCACACACAGTGTCCGTGGTTCAATCCCCAGCATGGATGGAAACACTGAACTTGTTTCCTTACACCTGCTGTCCCTGTTCACCTAGCACTAAGTAGGTACACGAGTGTTAGTCAACTGATGTGGGTCGCATCCTGGGGACAAGATTAACCTAAGTTGCCCGAAATGCTCTTCACAAACAGGGACTTCCTATACAGTATGTCACTGATGTCAGTTATGGTCTGCATAAATTGTATCATATACTTGTAGAAACAAAGATTAATAACAAAGACTTTATGCATGCATTTATGTTAATGTAAGGAACCTCAGGGAAGGTTCCTTGATGCTGGTGAGGGGCTCTTGATCTAGGGAATTGAATCTGTGCTCCAGTTCCCTGAATTGAGCCTGAATACTTTCCATCCCCCACACAGGCGCTGTATAATCCCTACGGGTTTAGCTCTCTCCCATGATTATTATTATTTGGTTTAATATATATGAAAATCTTGATATTTTTGAGCCAAGAATTTTAATTACTTAAAGGATTTTTTCTTTTCCCGGACTGAGGCCAAATTAACAATTCAAATTTATTCTCTATAAGGATTACAATGCTTGGGATACCCTATGTTAACTCTACGTAAAGTACTCTTACCGTACTCATATGATGTGTTTTGCCTCAAGACAATTGCAAATATTTGTGTTATGTTATTATTATTTCCAAAGTCTAAATATTAACTTACTTAACCGTCTGTTGGGAATTGTTAAAAGCCACCAAAACTTACGCCTTTTTGAGCTCTGACTAGTCTAGTCCGGGAAAAATGTTCGACGGAAATGAGACAGGAAAGTTTCTATCGAAAAGAAAAACAAGAGCATAAGATTCCCAAGTCAGATAAGGTTGATCCTACTCCTAAATACCAGCAGTCAGGTGTCTCACACACTAAATAAGCACATCTACACTATGATGGCCGCCGCTGATAATTCCTTTCATTGTCTTAAGGGCCACTGACAGCTCACATCGTAATAAACCCAGGATCCCGATGTACTGGTTACGTTACTATTACAACTGAGTGCTGTACAGATAAGGAGTACTGGGAAGAAATATTTCCCAAAGCTGAGCGATGATTATAATCATGGGGGAGCGATAAACCCGTAGGGATTATACATCGGAAATAAATCACTGACTTTTGGGTTATCCTAGGTTCTCTACACATATGCTATGTACGATAATCTATTTCTGTATACCTGAATATTATTATTATTATAATCAAGGGGGAAGCGCTAAACCCGGAGGATTATACAGCGCCTGGGGGGGATGTGGAAGGCATTCAGGCTTAATTCGGGGAACTGGAGCACAGATCCAATTCCCTAAATGAAGAGCCCCTCACCAACATCAAGGAACCTTCCTTGAGGGGATACCTGAATAAACTTACCTACGTACTTACTAGCCCATGTTGGGGGGGGGAGGGGATGGAAAGCATTCAGGCTTAATTCAGGGAACTGGAGTACAGATCCAATTCCCTAGATCAAGTTACGAAGGCTGAACGTAACTATACAGTAACTGAGCAAGAAGCTTTAGCAATAGTATAGTCTTTAAAGCACTTCCAAGACATTATTTATCAGTACTCTGTTCATGTCTTGACAGACCACGCTCCACTGATACCTTTATTCCAGAACAAACAACCTACTGGAAGGTTAGCCAGATGGACCTTGACTATCCAAGAGTTCAATCCCACCTTTGAACATTTACCTGGCAAGTCAAATGTAGTCGCAGATGCCTTATCGCGACATTTATGTATAGTAACTGCAGACCCTCCATTTAGTGCTGAGGATGAAAAAGAATGCTCAACGAACAGATCCCATGTGGTCTGGTGTGATTCGATTCCTGCTCCAGGAAGATCTTATTCTGACTGTGAAGCAACCAGCACCCATCAGTGACTTTGTCATGAACCAAGAATTACGTATCGAACAGCCGGTTGGTACTCCAGCAGAAGATTTATACCAGTTAGTAATTCCACAGTCACTAGTGAATGTAGCCTTACAGCTATTTTCACGATGTACGGGTGTTGCACACCCGGGTTTATGGATCGTTCAGTAAAACAACCCAAAATGAAATACTTTTGGCCTCGTATGCAACTGATATTTCTGAGTATGTTAAGAAATGTAGTGTCTGCATGCAACATAAAGGTAATGCTAATGGTCTTAATCCAGTCCAAGTGTATCCAACCACTAGCGAACCTTGGGAAAGAGTTGCGCTAGACTTGTTAACTAATTTCCATGTTCCCTCCAGGGCAACAAACATCTGTGTTATGGTAGACCATTTCACCAGATATTGAGTTAGTTCCTATTGCAGATAAGACTGCCGAGACAGTAGCTAAAGCGTTTAAAGAACGCATTATTTGCAGGCATACCACCCCTAAGTCCCTAGTAACAGATAATGGAGGTGAATTCTGTAATGAGATTCTTGAAAATTTGTGTACCTTGTACAAGATCTCTAAATCCACCATTGTTCCTCATCATCCTGCCAGCAATGGGTTAGCAGAATGTACCAATAAGAAAGTACTTGATGTCTTGAGAGCCCTATCAACCCCAAACAAGTGAAATTTGGGGAAATGAAGTTATACCTGATGTGCAGTGTGCTATAAATTCTGCTTACAATGTTTTATAGGTGACACTCCACATTATGCATTGTATGGTGAGATAAACGTTTGCCTTATGAGTTGCTATATTCTAATCCGAAACCAAATTACAACCCTGATGATTTCATAGCAACTCGTAAACCCGCTTAGCTCAAAGTGTTTTTAGAAGAATCCGTGAAACACTTCATAAATCAACAGCAGAATTTACAAGAGTCGCAAACACTCGAGCGAAGCCTTTCCAAAATCAAAGTAGGTTCGAGAGTTATGCTGACTAACTTTAAAAAAAGTCTGCAATGCCTAAGCTTGATCAAAGTTTGTGGTCCTTATCGAGTAGTTGAACATATCACTGGGAATAAGTTAAGGTTAGAGAAATTAGTACTGGTCAGTATAAAGAATTGCATTTAGATCATATGAAGTTAGTATGTGATGAAATGATGTTCCAATCCAGACTAATGTGACAGACTCTGACAATCCTCCTGATCCTGTACTCTCTACCTCTGATACTCAGTCAGACGATCAACCTGAATGTCGTTATTCCCTACGTACACGACAGGTATTGAGAAATCCTCAAGTATCATTTGTTTCTTCCAATTTAGATTTGCCTCAAATACAGCATGAGTTAGCCAGTGCAACAGAGTTTGATCCTCCCAGAGATGACACCCATTCTGCATATGTCAATCTCACCCTAGCAGAGTTGGGGTTAATGTAAATAACCTGTATAGATGAATAATTACAGTATCAACTTAAACAGTATTCAAGAATTTTTTTTTTGTTTCACGTTCTCTCCGAATTCTGAAGTTAACAGTCTAGATTTGAGTGCACCGAATCTGCTTTCTGTTAAACACTTCTTTTTTTGTATATATTCCTTCTCAGAATCCGTAGATCACATGAATACAGATCGAAAACGATCAAATTTTTTTATAATTCTATTGTGTAATCTCAACGTTGAGTTTCCGATGAGTTGTGCTAATTATACCTTGTATTGCATTACGTTTTATTACAGTTTCAGTTTCGTAAGCTTCCATTCCAATATTCTACTTTTTTGTATGTTATAATGTTCAATTGTTGTGTACTTTGACATTGTATAGACTCAGCCCAAGCCGTACACCTGCCGTCTCTAGTTTGTATTAGTTGTATGTCGGGACGACATACGTTAGCGTCGCCGAGCTCTCAGTAGTAGTACCAGTTCCTAGTAACCAGTTACCAGTAACCAGTGTACCAGTAGATGACTCACTACCAACCATCTGTGTGAATCATTGACTGTATTCATATTGCTGCTGACCATAGCAGGATTTCAAACATCCCTCACCCGTAGGCACTCATGGGTCAGTCAGGCTAGGGAGCAGAGAGAGGCAGGACGGCTGTTGGCGCTTTCCCACACTTTCCGTTATATTATACATACTACCAGCCTACGTGAGTATTCTTACCCTATCCACGTATCGAAAACCCACATGACACTGGAGCACAGATCCAATTCCCTAAATCAAGAGCTCCTCACCAACATCAAGGAACCTTCCTTGAGGGGATACCTGAATAAACTTACCTATGTACTTACTAGCCCATGTGGGGGGGGAGGGGATGGAAAGCATTCAGGCTTAATCAGGGAACTGGAGTACAGATCCAATTCCCTAGATCAAGAGCCCCTCACCAGCATAAAGGAACCTTCCTTGAGGAGTGGTTATGCAGAGCAATTCAGGCAATTTAGGTTAATCTTGCCCCCCAGGATGCGATCCGCACCAGTCGGCAAACACCCAGGTACTTACTTCCTGCTAGGTGAACAGGGACAGGTGTAAGGAAACATGCCCAGTGGTTCTACCCATGCTGGGAACTGAACCATGGACTGCATACACAGAACAATACATGCAAATATAAACCTCCCACTCAAACTTTTCCTCACCAACCTAAACAGGACACATGACCACAACACAAGACACAGATCTCTTTTTGATAGACCTCATGTCCATATCACACTGTGTAAAAACTCTATGCACATAAAGGGCCCCAAAATATGGAATTCATTACCAGAAGATATTAAAGTAACCCAGTCTGAAAATCAATATAAGACTCTTCTCAAAAGCCACTTAATCACCCTAGACTAAATGCTAAACACTCAGTACACACTTACTCACCTATGTACTCCCACATCATAACTGAAACAATCACATTGAACCTTTTATCCATTGTTGACAGGAATATAATTAAATCATTGTTTTCACAAAAGCATTTTAGAATATAAATACGTATATCTTTGTATTATACAAATTTTGATTCATTTATAATTAATATTCTACTGTACAACTATGAAATAATTACTTTCCTACTGTACAACTATGATATACTACTCCTTAGTATTAAGTAGACTGTAAGCCAATAATGTTAAGTTGGCCCATAATGCCAAGGCATAATAGAGGCTCTCTTTGCATTGCAACCCACTATTGTATATACACAATCTCAATGTACTGTTTGCAAAAACATTAAATAAATAAATGTGCAAGATGAGTGGCTACCAACCGAGCTATGAGACATTTCTTTACACTTCCTACCCTTGTTCACTTAGCGATAAGTAGGTACCTGGGTGTTAGTCAACTAATGTGGGTCACATCCTTAGAGGACAAGATTAAAGGACCCCAATGGAAATAAGAGTCCTTGATGCTACACTTCCTTGATTATTATTATAACCAAAACTAAGTGCTAAACTCACAAAGGTCATACAGCACTGTCTGACTTTCTTGAGTTATCCTGGATGGCTAACACTCCAGGTTAAAAATATAAACAAATTTCATCTTACTCTCACTTGAGTCAGTAACCAGCTTCCCATCAAAACCAGTAAATATCCAGTGAAAAAATGAAGCTGATGAATGGTGCTTCTCATGTAATGTCCCCAGTGGGCAGAGTAAGACTAAAACAAGCATTCCAGGAAGAACTGTTCAAGCACTGTCTTCAGTCCAAGTGTACCATGGTATGAGTCATCTCAAGCTCAACAAACTCATCTGCTACCTTCCCCCACTTACTGTGAGCTTGAAGAGTAATAGTGGTGTTACTGCAGCATAAGTCAAAGTTGCATCTCTAGTGCCTAAGAGCAGGTGTACACTGGTATGAGTTTTGCAACTCAGAAACTTCTTCAGTGGAGCCACACCCAAGTGACTTAGGGAAGGGAATGGGAGGGAATCAAGTTCATTAAGAGCCCCTCACTGGCAACAAGGACCCTTACTTGAGGATAGGAGCAGACATAGAAGTCACATTAAATACAATAAATAAATTTCAGTTGAAAAGTAAAGTGAATCTCCATTACAAACTGGATTTGAGATGTCAGTCAATGTAAGCACATCCAGGGATTTAAGGAAATGTCTAAAATGAAGTCACTGCGCCTTCTAAACAAACGGGACAATCTACCAATTGTATAAAAAAAAAAAGTGCTAAACCTGCATAGGTCATACAGAACTTAGGTAATGGGAGGCAATTGGGTTCATTCCAAAGGAAGAACATTATCAATTTGTTGGATGAAGAGTCCCTCACCAGCATCAAGGAACCTTCCTTGAGGGGGTTAAATTCAGTTAAAATCATAAACTAGGAATCTGAGCAAAAAGGGGCTGTTAATATGTCAGGGCACTACTGCACCAAAAGTGAATTCTGCATCATGATCTCTTGATAGATAAAATAGTCTATTAATGTAGGTGAACCGAGAGCATGACCCGAAAGTCATCGCAGAGAGATGCTGGGTATCTTTCCATGAGGTATCCATGTCTACTGTACATAATTGTCAAAACATGGTTTCCCATACACTATAGCAATAGAAGAAAGATTGCCAAGATTAACTGTGATTTGATGGCAAACATCTTAGTCCTGGAAAATAGTCTTAACCTATCAAAGATACTGAACTATAAAAACAGGAGTGTCCATTTACCTTCAGTTACTATGGAGGAAAAATGAAGTGGATGACATGTACCATGGAGGAATACTGGAGTGGTTGACATGTACCATGGAGGAATACTGGAGTGGTTGACATGTACCATGGAGGAATATTGGAGTGCTCATTTAATATAATTGTACTCTGAGGAAAATAATGAATGATTTTTTTTTTTTTAATTTTATTACCCATTTAACATAGCATTAAAGAGCTCCAGAATTAGAGCTTCTTAAATGCACTTAAATGCAAATTTATGCTCTCATAGAGAGCTTTCTCAGAATATTGAAATGCCCTTGAACTAAAACTGAGGGATATTGTAATATATCAGGCATTCTATATGCATTCTATATTTAAATTTTGTTTACACTGAAAAAAATAGCCTCTCTGAGCAGTACTGAAAAAGGGTTCTTTTAACTGGAGCATTTAAACTGACTTTAAATTAATCTTAAAGCATAGGTAACTTTAAAATATGCTACACAAATAACCCGCACATAAAAGAGAGAAGCTTGTACTACTACTACTACTACACACCACCACCACCTCTTCCTGCCTATATATAGCCGTCCTGCTCCCCCTCTGGTTAGTGTGACTTTGTCAATGGTCCAAGTCGGACCGAAACGTCGTCGTAAGCTTCTCTCTTTTATGTGCGGGTTATTTGTGTATCGTTCCAGTCACGGTATTGTGCCTTTTTTTGTTATTTAAAATATGCTCACCTTATTATTGTATTACAGTGATACCTTACATATCTGGCCTGCCATTATCCAAACCTCGCCAATATCCGAACAGGCCCTGGGAAAGGGCAAAATTCTAAAATCATTACCAAAACATCTGAACAGCAGTTCAGATACAGCAGAAGGCTGAATCAAAATTGGCACGCACTTTTGTGTACCGGTTGGTCACTAGGAGCCACACTCTTTGCCTTCCTTTTAGCATTATTACAGCTGTGTTTTGTCATAGCTATGTTGTGTATGGCACCAAAGAGGGCCAGGAATGTGCTTACTCTAGGAAAAAAAAAAAAAAAAAAAAAAAAAAAAAAAAAAAAAAAAGAGGGAAATATTGTCACATGGGGATGCAGGTTGGTCCAAGGCTGGGGAAAAAAACTACAGAAGATGACGTGCAGGACTGGCTAGTGTGTGACAAAGACGACCCTGGTGTGCAATCTCTGACGGATGCAGAGACTGCAGAATCAGTGTTGCGCCCAGAACATTCCGAAAGTAACGACGATGACCCAATGCCTCCAAGACCAGCAAGGGCAGGTGTCGAAACACTTTTGTAGTATTTGGAGCATCCACTGTCCACAGCCCATTTGAAACGTTATGGTCCTGTGGTCCGTGGAACCTGGAAGGCTGTTATTCGAGCCCAGAGTGTCTATTCCCACCGCCAGATGATGGTGGACTTGTTTTTTAAACCTACGCCGTTGCCAATGGCAATGACAGGGTACAAATGGCAAAATGATGGTACAGATGTGCATTTCCCCCCCTCATGTATCCGGAAACTCCATGTTTCCGACCCGATCTTGGCCCATGTAGTTCAGATATGAGAGGTATCACTGTGTTCTGTTTGCTATATCTTTCCTTGTTCTATCCCTCCTCCTGTTACCAAATAACCTTGATACATACTCCATCTCTACCAATCTAATTCAAGATTTTAGATGCCTGAGTGACACTCATTTCATAACCTTACACTAGAGACCGGACCGCGGGGGCGTTGACCCCCGAAACCCTCTCCAGGTAAACTCCAGGTAGAGTAGGAATCGGCACACTCTGCAAATCTCAAACTTGAAGGGCATCCATTTCTATTCCTAACCAGAAACTTGTCTTCCCTAAATGATTACCCTAAAATGTTAAATGACAAATCTGCTTTTGTGATTTTTATACATACTAGTTTAAATGTTTTTAACCCAAAGGGTATCTCTTGCAAAGGCAGGGTGACCCCAAAGAAAACGTTTTCACCATCATTCACTCAATTGCCATCTTTCCAGAAGTCTGCTGATACCGCAGTCAGATTACCCTCCGAGTGCAACATCCCCAACCCTCCAAGTGCCAGCACTGCCTTCCCATCTCCAGGACTAGGAAGGGCAGTGCCTGCACTCTGAAGGAAGGGTGCAATGTTGAACAGGTTGTAATACTTCATTACTGACACTGATTAAGCACAAAATATTTGCTTTTCTCCTGTCTTACAGATTGAAGAGCATGAGCTCTTGACAAGCATACTGAGAAAAATAGTTATATCATTTGATCCAAGTTTCATAAAGTCTGGTGAAAAATACAAAAAAAATATTTTATCTCCTGTCCCTAGTGCTGTATCACCCTTATGGATTAACATTTTTTGTGAGCAATATACAAATCTTACTAGTATTTCTCACTACCAACATACTACACTCATCAAAATTACCAAACTTACAGTTATCTGGTACACAGGCTGATGTTTCTTACACCTTATACTGGACTTACAAATGTTCGTACCATGCAAAACATTATCTGCAGAAAGAGGCTATTTTTTGAAAAAAGTTTTTCATCATAATTCCATCTTACTGTGAAATACATACTTATATTTCTTTACAACTACCTTCTCTGAAAGACACATCAGTAAAACTCTTAACTATTACAGTACATGCATAATGCATATCTTTCATTTTCAAGTAGACTCTAAATGTTGTACAATAAGTTTGATATACTGTACTCCATTTCTTCCTGTCATGCACTTCATTCACCTTCTGATAATGTCAATTTGACCTCCCATTGCCATCTTCATATACGATAAATAACAATGAATATGTTCTACAACTCTGATCTGAGCTTCCAGACTTATATTAAAGCAGTTACTCTGATGTCTAACTCTTACACACTTTGTTTCTTCCACAATGTTTCACTAATTTAAAATTTCTCAACTGTCACAAATGCTCAACATCATCTACAGTTCAAAAATCAGAGTAAATTAATAAACTTATCTCACTCCTGACTTTCTTTTTCTCGCTCTAACTTTGCTATTTCAGCTTCCAGCAGCACACAAGCTTGTTCAATCTCATAATTGCGAGAGACAAGTGATACCCAACTACTCTCCAGATGGCGCAGCTCCTCTCCTGCCTTGGTCTGCATGCTTTTTCTGGACCAATTTAGTTCCTGAATTTCTTTCCTGTTAAGAGGGAATATAATTTACTACACTATAAACATATAAAGTCTACAATAACCTACAGAGTCTAAATGCTGTACTCTAAATTTAAATATATGTGGTACTAAACCTGTATAGGTTATTCAACACAAGATGGGTCAAAGGCTCAATCCTTCTTATGCTGTTGCAGGGGAGAATCTGCAAGGCTTTAACAGACTAAATCACAGTACCATGGGTACAATAATTTACATCTAAGCCTCAAACTGGACATGAAACTAGACAATGTTTTGGTCTAAGACCAGTTTGTAATTATCTATCCTAACTCATTCACTCTTCCAGCTGTCTAACCTAATTCTCTCTCTTTCTCAATTCAGTCTAACAAGACCATTTAAACTAATTCACCCTCATTTCTGGCTTACCTATCACTCTCAGTTTGGTTTAATTTCACTCGCTCAACTGAATACAGTGTGACTTATTTCACTGCATCCATCCAATACAGTATTACAATTTATTACAATTTTCTCATAAAAATATGATGTACGAGGTTCTCTAGAATAGTGTACTCACTTGTACTCCTGTAGCTGTGCCTGAGAGCGGGTCAACATGTGCTGTAGGACATTGTTGTGAGCCTTCCATGCTTCCGCTCCAAACTCGTTCATTAAATCCAGGTTCATAATCCTTTTAAGAAAAACTAATAATATAACTGAATGTATAGATTTAAGCCAGATGCAAGGCATGTAAGTATTAACAATAGACTCTCCCACAGTGCTCTGATCATAAAAGAGGTATTGCACTTTACAGCATGCTAGCAATTTATATTACCTTTATTCCCTCTCTCACAACTTAGTAAGATAATAAACACTCTTTAGTAAGAGTTAGCTTAATTAAACATCCTAACATGGTAGTGATAAGCTGTGGCATGCAGTAATTAATGACAGAACTCAAACACTGTCTCACAAAGAGATTATCCTAAAAAAAAAACAAAAAAACTCTGAACTTGCCTAGTCGCCTGATGTTCAAGCTGGGCCATTGAATTGTCCACACACTCGCCCCAAGCAGCAACATCTGTCATTTTTCCAGGGGGTGGTGGTGGGAGTTCATAACGCTTCATACTCAACGTGTCCATTGGCTGTCGTGCAGCAACACGTTCAAATTCGCAACGCATCACATCCGTCTGTGGTTTGAAAAAATTTCTAAACATTATATACATAAAAGAATTGTGACACTCAAAGAAACTGCAGATACCCTCTCTGTACAATAAGGGAACTCTAAAGTGTATAAAATTTCAGGAGTGAAGAAAGTAGTCCATCAAAACTGATGATATCCAAGTCTAGTATATGATAAGCCTTATCATTATAAACTATGATGAAACATACTAGGAAACTAGTGGCACATGGTGCAAGAGGAGAAATTATCTCCTGGATTGAGGCATCACTGATCAACAGGCAAAAGTGTATTTGTTTAAGTGGGAAAAAATCAAAATGGGGACCTGTTACATGTGGTGTTCCACAGGGGGTCATTACTGGGCCCCTTGTTCACAATATACATAAATGATGTAGATTGATGGAATAATTAGTGACATGAGCAAGTCTGCCAGTGATACTGAAATAGGTCAACAAATAAATTCTAATGAGGACCCTAGAACTACAGGATGATCTGGATAGGCTGATGTGATTGGAGAAGTGATAAATACAGTTTAATATGGACAAATGTACGGTTCTAGTTCTGAGAAACGAACAAAACAGGACTTATTGAGAAAAAGACTTAGCTCTGGTTAACAGAAATCTGACGATAAGACAATAGTACAAAAGTGTTCACAAACAAGCTAATAGAGTTCTCGACTTTATATCCGGAAGGGTAAATAATAGAACTCCTCAAGTCATACTTCAACTTTATATATATCCTTGGTAGACCTCATTTTGATTGTGTTGCTGAATTCTAGTCTCCATATTACAGAATGGACATAAATGCACTGGAAACTTAACAAAGGATGATGAAATTGATCCCCTTATCAGAAATCTTTCCTATGAAGACAGGGTGAAGGCACTGAATTCACAAACAGAAAACTTAGGATGTATAAAAGGTTATACAAAATGTGCTGAAAAAAATCTACACAAAATGTGACTCATAGTACTGGATGCAAGTTGAACAAACTTAAAATTAGAAGGGATATAAGGAATTACTGGTTTGGCATTTGAGCTGTAGAAGAGTGAAACAAATTCAGAGTAACATCTTTGAAGAAAGAACTTTGGGTAGTTTTCACAAGAGATTGGACAGGTATAAGAGCAACCAGTTAGGTGAATCGGACCTACTTAACATGGACCAGTAGGCCTACTGCAGTGCCCCACTATTCCTATGTTTTTAAATGGCAAGTACATTAAGTAAACAAGCCTCAAGTCCATGGAAAAGATTAAACACATGATTATTAAGACCAATATAACATTATACAGCTATATATAATATAGATCAAGAAGTGAGCAAATAGTGAAAAAAAATATACCAAGGAAAGAATGTACACACTTTCTTCCACTGGTTTGTGGAGACTCACCTCAAAAGCATTTAAATTAAGAGGAGGGAGGTGCTCCAGGTAGTTCTTGGTGGGACGGTAACGCTTCTTCTCATCCTCTACCATTGCAATGGCCTGCGAACATTATTTAACCACTGTGAATATGGCTTCAACAATAAAAAATATGCTTTTAAAAAATACCTTGTATAAATTCATTAGCACATTTACAACAGAAACTTTACATTATATTGTACATTCAGTAAAAATAATGAAGCTGAAGTAATTAACAAACAACAAAATAATATACATCTATTAAAGTTTTTTATATTTGTATAAAGCAATCTTTAAGAATTACCTATACAAGGAGAAACATATATGGTACCATGTTATGTCAAAATAAGATGCACAACTTAGGGACTCACATAACAATAAATTTTGTATAAACTTACAATACTTTCATTTAAATTATTATTATTATAATCAAGGGGGAAGCGCTAAACCCGGAGGATTATACAGCGCCTGGGGAGGGGGTGTGGAAGGCATTCAGTCTTAATTCGGGGAACTGGAGCACAGATCCAATTCCCTAAATCAAGAGCCCCTCACCAACATCAAGGAACCTTCCTTGAGGGGACTTATATTTAAAGCATGCCCAATATATGGATTATGTGAATAAAGCGTATCATCTTAACTTTAGATATCTTAGGAAGTCATCATGAAATATCACTTTCGAATATATGTACTGTATTTTATGTATATTGACTTTGCAATATGTAATATGATTGTATGACATAAAAATTAATGCTGGCAATTCTTATGCAATATATTGTTTAAACCTCTGGGTTAATAATCCAAACAAAATCTTATTTCCTCTAACGTTAACTATTCAATATCGAATAGTTTACAGTTCTGATTTTAATCGAAAATGATATGCATAACCTGGGGATTAATGCTCTCAAAACCATTCATTTTTTAAAATAGAGAAACAAAGTACAGTGAATTGAAAGCCCATATTGTGGAAAGCCCGAAATGCTTTGCATAACCTGGGATTTTAAATATAAAAAAAAAATATATAAACCAATTTTCATAAATTTATAATCATCTTAATATAAAAGAAAAAAAAAACTTGCTACGTACCGCCTCCCCTCAGGGAAGGTTCCTTGATGTTGGTGAGGGGCTCTTGATTTAGGGAATTGGATCTGTGCTCCAGTTCCCTGAATTAAGCCTGAATACCTTCCACATCCCCCCCAGGCGCTGTATAATCCTACGGGTTTAGCGCTTTCCCTTTGATTATAATAATAATACGTACCGCCTCTCTGACTCCTGGCTCCTCATAGCCGGTGTCTATGTAAGGTAAGGCGTCCACAATGACGTCCTGACTCATCTTGTGACAAATATATTAATAATTCCACTAGAAGCAGCAGAAGTGTTGTGGCTGTTGGGGGTTGTTAGGGGCCACTATGATGAACCCTGCTTACCGGGGTCCTTATGTCTCTGTAACCTTATGACTACCACCTACACCACATAAGTTTATTTAAGTACACATACACACAAGTACAATTATCATGCATTGTAATTTGTGTAAATTACCTAGGATAACCCCAAAAAAATCGAAGTGACTTATTTTCACTGGGTATGATGTACTCGCTTCACCTGAACCCGTTCACCTTGCAAGTAGGTACCTGGGTGTTAGTCTACTGGTGTGGGTCGCATCCTGGTAGGCAAGATTTAAGGACCCCAATGGAAATAAGACAGACAGTCCCGTAGCTTGACTGCTAGCACACTCAGCTCACACACAAAGGTTCGTGGTTTGATCCCCGGTACTGGTGGAAACATTAGGACGTGTTTCCTTAAGACACCTGCTGTCCCTGTTCACCTATTAGTAAAATAGGTACCTAAGTGTTAGTCGACTGGCGTGGGTTACATCCTGGGAAAAAATTTGACTTACTCTGCTCGAAATGCTCTGCATAACAATAGGCTTTCTATATAGCTGTATGACATTGATGTCAGCTAGGCATGTATACCTTGTACATACACTTGTAGAAATAAAGATTATTTTATTATTATGACGCACTGACTTTCTTCGGTTATTCTGAGAGGCTAACCCTCCGGGGTTAAACATCCGAACAAAATCTTATCTCTTAGAGGACGGGTAAAGGGTGCATAATAAAATATATTAAACTACCGTCTACGGGACAGGTATTTGTTGCATAATGAAAATTAATAACGTCTACAGGACGGGTATGAATGCATAATACACATTAAAATAAGTATCCTAAGTCCAGGTAAAATACTACACAATGTTTATATTACTGATCAATGCCCTGCTTGCAACTGAACCAGATATCCCCAGCAATTTTACAATTATCTATGCAGATGGTATTCCTGCATAAACTAAAACTTTTCAGTATGTGCAAACCACTGTAAATCATATAAAGACAGCCTGTAATAATCTTGGCCTTATCACAGAACGGATAGGATTCGTGTGGAAATTTATTTGGTCCCTAAAGTTCCACAGGACAGATCCGGCGTACAAATTATTATTATTATTATTATAATCAAAAAGAAGCGCTAAGCCACAAGGGCTATACAGTGCGGCGTACAACGGGGGTTCCAGCATGGCCGTAATGGAACGGCTGAGCTGGGTGGCCCTTAAACCCACCCAAACAAAAAGCGTTCTCCCCGAACATAAACACATTTCTCTCCCCGAGTTGGCGTGGATGAAGGTACTATTTAATTTACAGATTTACCCTTCAGGGAAGGAGTAGGTAGTTTTACTGTTAGTATATTAATATTAGGTTTACTATGGCAACTGAAGATAATAATAATGTAGACCTAAGACCTTAACATAGGTAGTAATAGGCCGATAATGTAGGCAAACACTAGGTTAAGTTAGCTAGGGAGAACTGACAGCCCTAGCTTGAATGACGAGGCGCGGGTCTCAAAGACACAATAGCGTCCTTCTTAAGACAGACACCAACTGGACAAGACGTGCCGTGATCAGCAGACGGCGCCCCCACGTGTCTTCACATTCGAGACCTGGGGAAATCTGGTAGAGGCATCTCGATGTACCGTAGATGACCTCCATCAGGCCCATACAGTAAGACAAGACCTCCACTTTATCTCGTAGATTTCTGGCCAGTGTCTGGGGAGATTGTGAGCGAGTTGATCTGTAGGCCCTTTGTGCAGCTGGCAGAGCATGCCCAGTAAGTACCAGTGTCTCGCGTCAGTCTGGAAGCTAGTGTCCGTGTATGCATAGTTGTACTAGGGAATACACACCCTCTTGGATATAGGAATTTCTGAGGTGCAGGCAGGTCACTAATAACGATTGAATATTGCAGGAATTCAGGCTCCCGGTTGCACGTGGTTTCTGAGGGGAAGTCCAAAGGGGCTAAGGCTAAGCTTAGGGAAGTTGAAGATCAGGATATATGCTGCAACACCAAGTAAGTTAGTCCTTTATACGTGCATGCAGGCGAGTTTCTTGCAACATCAATCATTTGTGAAAATCTGTCCTATAAGCCACTTGTGAGGCTGAGGTACCCACCTCAGAGCTCGGTGTCAACAGAGTTTGCCAGGGTAGGCGACTCATTTGGAGGCAGTCCACACAAATTTTCACAACTCGAACCCGTGGCGAGTGAGTCCTAAAACTGGCAGGTCAGTGCTGAACCAGTGCTCTGGGAATTGTTTTCAGTCGTGTTATTGCGATTTCGTGAATATTAGCCTTATACTTTCTGTAGAAAAGACCAAAGTATATTGCAGACACACTGGTAACCATAAAAGTGAACAATTAAAATTAAAATTTAATGGCAGGCCTCTTGATTATGTATCCTGTATTATTATTATAATCAAGGGGAAGCGCTAAATCCGGAGGATTATACAGCGCCTGGGGGGGGGGATGTGGAAGGCATTCAGGCTTAATTCGGGGAACTTGAGCACAGATTCAATTCCCCAAATTAAGAGCCCCTCACCAACATCAAGGAACCTTCCTTGAGGGGTACTATGTATCCTGTAAATATCTAGGTATTACTCTTTTATGTACACTAACAGCTGTGAATAAAATGAATTAATGTCCAAACAGACTTTAAGCTCTCAGAGCTGTAGTAAGGAACAGTTCTACTGTGCAAAGGTTTGAATTGTTAAAACTGATGTATTTAGTGTATACAAGATCACCGATAGATCACTATGCAGCAGTTTTAGTACTACAACACAGCAGAACCATTGAGAAACTTGAAAAAAAAAATCCTATTATTCTTAGCTGTCCTGTAACCACCAAAATACTTAATATGAAGAATTTGTTATACCAAATGTTACCTGGAGTTTACCTGGAGGGAGTTCCGGGGGTCAATGCCCCCGCGGCCCGGTCTGTGACCAGGCCTCCTGGTGGATCAGAGCCTGATCAACCAGGCTGTTACTGCTTGCTGCACACAAACCAACGTACGAGCCACAGCCCGGCTGGTCAGGAACCGACTTTAGGTGCTTGTCCAGTGCCAGCTTGAAGACTGCCAGGTGTCTGTTGGTAATCCCCCTTATGTATGCTGGGAGACAGTTGAACAGTCTCGGGCCCCTGACACTTATTGTATGGTCTCTTAACGTGCTAGTGACACCCCTGCTTTTCATTGGGAGGATGTTGCATCGTCTGCCAAGTCTTTTGCTTTAGTAGTGAGTGATTTTCGTGTGCAAGTTCGGTATTAGTCCCTCTAGGATTTTCCAGGTGTATATATCATGTATCTCTCCCGCCTGCGTTCCAGGGAATACAGGTTTAGGAACCTCAAGCGCTCCCAGTAATTGAGGTGTTTTATCTCCGTTATGCACGCCGTGAGGTTCTTGTACATTTTCTAGGTCAGCAATTTCACCTGCCTTGAAAGGTGCTGTTGTGTGCAGCAATATTCCAGCCTAGATAGAACAAGTGACCTGAAGAGTGTCATCATGGGCTTGGCCTCCCTAGTTTTGAAGGTTCTCATTATCCATCCTGTCATTTTTCTAGCAGATGCGATTGATACAATGTTATGGTCCTTGAAGGTGAGATCCTCCGACATGATCACTCTCAGGTCTTTGACGTTGGTGTTTCGCTCTATTTTGTGGCCAGAATTTGTTTTGTACTCTGATGAAGATTTAATTTCCTCGTGTTTACCATATCTGAGTAATTGAAATTTCTCATTGTTGAACTTCATATTGTTTTCTGCAGCCCACTAAGAAGCAAGATCACCACCCATCTAGAAACCCATCAGTTACACAACCCAGGGCAACATGGGTTTAGAGCAGGTCGCTCCTGTCTGTCTCAACTACTGGATCACTACGACAAGGTCCTAAATGCACTAGAAGACAAAAAGAATGCAGATGTAATATATACAGACTTTGCAAAAGCCTTCGACAAGTGTGACCATGGCGTAATAGCGCACAAAATGCGCGCTAAAGGAATAACAGGAAAAGTCGGTCGATGGATCTATAATTTCCTCACTAACAGAACACAGGAGTAGTCGTCAACAGAGTAAAGTCCGAGGCAGCTACGGTGAAAAGCTCTGTTCCACAAGGCACAGTACTAGCTCCCATCTTGTTCCTCATCCTCATATCCGACATAGACAAGGATGTCAGCCACAGCACCGTGTCTTCCTTTGCAGATGACACCCGAATCTGCATGAGTGTCTTCCATTGCAGACACTGCAAGGCTCCAGGCGGACATCAACCAAATCTTTCAGTGGGCTGCAGAAAACATATGAAGTTCAAACGATGAGAAATTTCAATTACTCAGATATGGTAAACATGAGGAAATTAATCTTCATCAGAGTACAAAACAAATTCTGGCCACAAAATAGAGTGAAACACCAACGTCAAAGACCTGGGAGTGATTATGTCGGGGATCTCACCTTCAAGGACCATAACATTGTATCAATCGCATCTGCTAGAAAAATGACAGGATGGATAATGAGAACCTTCAAAACTAGGGAGGCCAAGCCCATGATGACACTCTTCAGGTCACTTGTTCTATCTAGGCTGGAATATTGCTGCACTCTAACAGCACCTTTCAAGGCAGGTGAAATTGCCGACCTAAAATGTACAGAGAACTTTCACGGCGCGCATAACGGAGATAAAACACCTCAATTACTGGGAGCGCTTGAGTTTCTAAACCTGTATTCCCTGGAACGCAGGAGGGAGAGATACATGATTATATACACCTGGAAAATCCTAGAGGGACTAGTACCGAACTTGCACACGAAAATCACTCACTACGAAAGCAAAAGACTTGGCAGACGATGCACCATCCCCCCAATGAAAAGCAGGGGTGTCACTAGCACGTTAAGAGACCATACAATAAGTGTCAGGGGCCCGAGACTGTTCAACTGCCTCCCAGCACACATAAGGGGGATTACCAACAGACCCCTGGCAGTCTTCAAGCTGGCACTGGACAAGCACCTAAAGTCAGTTCCTGATCAGCCGGGCTGTGGCTCGTACGTTGGTTTGCATGCAGCCAGCAGCAACAGCCTGGTTGATCAGGCGCTGATCCACCAGGAGGCCTGGTCACAGACCGGGCCGCGGGGGCGTTGACCCCCGAAACTCTCTCCAGGTAAACTGAAAGATTTGGTTGATGTCCGCCTGGAGCCTTGCAGTGTCTGCAATGGAAGACACTGTCACGCAGATTCGGGTGTCATCTGCAAAGGAAGACACGGTGCTGTGGCTGACATCCTTGTCTATGTCGGATATGAGGATGAGGAACAAGATGGGAGCGAGTACTGTGCCTTGTGGAACAGAGCTTTTCACCGTAGCTGCCTCGGACTTTACTCTGTTGACGACTACTCTCTGTGTTCTGTTAGTGAGGAAATTATAGATCCATCGACCGACTTTTCCTGTTATTCCTTCAGCACGCATTTTGTGCGCTATTACGCCATGGTCACACTTGTCGAAGGCTTTTGCAAAGTCTGTATATATTACATCTGCATTCTTTTTGTCTTCTAGTGCATTTAGGACCTTGTCGTAGTGATCCAATAGTTGAGACAGACAGGAGCGACCTGTTCTAAACCCATGTTGCCCTGGGTTGTGTAACTGATGGGTTTCTAGATGGGTGGTGATCTTGCTTCTTAGGACCCTTTCAAAGATTTTTATGATATGGGATGTTAGTGCTATCGGTCTGTAGTTCTTTGCTGTTGCTTTACTGCCCCCTTTGTGGAGTGGGGCTATGTCTGTTGTTTTTAGTAACTGTGGGACGCCCCCCGTGTCCATGCTCCCTCTCCATAGGATGGAAAAGGCTCGTGATAGGGGCTTCTTGCAGTTCTTGATGAACACGGAGTTCCATGAGTCTGGCCCTGGGGCCGAGTGCATGGGCATGTCATTTATCGCCTGTTCGAAGTCATTTGGCGTCAGGATAACATTTGGATAGGCTTGTGTTAACCAAATTTTGTGGCTCTCTCATAAAAAATTCATTTTGATCTTCGACTCTCAGTCTGGTTAGCGGCTTGCTAAAAACTGAGTCATATTGGGACTTGAGTAGCTCACTCATTTCCTTGCTGTCATCTGTGTAGGACCCATCTTGTTTAAGTAGGGGCCCAATACTGGACGTTGTTCTCGACTTTGATTTGGCATAGGAGAAGAAATACTTTGGGTTTCTTTCGATTTCATTTATGGCTTTTAGTTCTTCCCGCGATTCCTGACTCCTATAAGATTCCTTTAGCTTAAGTTCGATGCTTGCTATTTCTCTGACCAGTGTCTCCCTACGCATTTCAGATAGCGAGAGAATACGTTGGTAGGACTGAAGCTGCTGTGTGAGGTGATCAATACAATGTTGTCTCTAGAGAACTACTAAAGCATAAAATTCATGGAACAAGTGGCTGAAGATATCTCAGGTGTTATGTAGCTCGATCGCTAGTGCGCTCAGCTCACACACTGAAGTCCAGGGATCGATCCCCTGGTACGACTGAAAAATGTTCAGATGTGTTTCCACAAGACACCTATTGTCCCTGTTCACCCATTAGTAAAATGGGTACCTGGGTTGTTAGTCGACTGGTGTGGGTCGCATCCTGGAGACAAAACTGATCTAGTTGCCCGAAATACTCTGCATAACAAGGGGCTTTCTATATAGTAGTAAGTCATTGATGTCAGCTAGGCCTGTATACCTTGTACATGTACTTGTTAAAATAAAGATACATGTATTAAGATACATACTGCATAGAGAACAGATCAAGTCGACTATCTCTCGCCCGGACAGATCTGTAATTTCTGCACTCTTCAACACTGGAAATGTGGATGATCTTCCTGTTTGTATAAGGCCAATGTTGTTAATGTGCTACACATCGCGGACAGCGAGAAGACAACTTCAATATAACAAGACGGGCAGCAAACAGCAATTACGCTCTGGCTGTACCCTTCAAGAACATCATTTCATCCAAGATCATTTCTAGGATCACTCGAGTCTGGAACATGTTCGCACAGCATAACGACATCGATGAAATAA